TGACGTGTGCGCCAAAATTCACGCACCTTCCCAACCCGCCCACCCCAGTTTGTGCCTTGGCCGGGTTTTGGGTTTGTAGTTGTACTTGTTGGGCTATGGAGCCTTCCCTAGAAGAAACTTGAACCATCCTAAGCCCTAAAGGCCCTGAACGGTTTTCATATAGTTGTTGGGCTGTAAAGCCATTTTCTAGAATCAACTTGTACCCCATCCAAAGCTTAGGGCAAGGCCTGCTGCAGATTCAAGGAGTTCAAACCGAACCCTCAATCCTAAGCCCTAAACCCTAAACCCAAAACCCCAAGCCCTAAAGTCCCCAAGTTCCAAATCCTAAATACTACACCCTTAACCCTCAGGAGGGGGGAGGCCCAGGGGTGAGGTTTGGGGTCATCCCTCTTTCGCAGTTCCGGCAGGGCTCTGGACCTTTAGGGTTTAGGATTTAGGGTTTAGGACTTAGGGGTTTAGGAGTTAGGGTTCAGCAGCTTTAGGGTTTAGGATTTAAAATTCAGGTCCTTTAGGGTTGTTTATAGGTTTTAGGATTTAAGAATCAGGGCCTTTCTGGTGGTGCCTTTAAGATGTGCCCGCCACGTGCGCCGGCACCGAGCCGGTGCAGCGACGGAGCTCGACTGTCGCGCCAGCTCCGGTGCTGGCAAGGGCTGTCGCCCCCCCTGCACGCTCGCTGCTCACCGCAGTGCCCGCAGCTCGCTTCGGATTTAGGGTGTTAGGATGTAAGATTTGGGATTTAGGATTTTGGGTTTAGAGTTTAGAGTTTAGGGTATAGGATTTAGGGTTTAGGGTTTAGGGTTTAGGGTTTAGGGTTTTGGGTTTAGGGTTTAGGGTTTAGGGTTTAGGGGGGGGTGGAACCTTCAAAATCTGAGCACAGGCTCTACTGTGATGACGGACAGGTCGAAGAGCATCCAGGTCCGTGCATATGCTCGCGCAACGCGGGCTGGATCTAGGACCAGCAAGCCTTGGTCGTAGTAGCCGGTGAAGAATGCGAGGACGAAGTCCATAACCCAAAACAGTTCGATCAGAATCCAGCCAAGGCCAGGGCCATCAGAAAGCCAGGCGGGCAGGGTGAACACGCGCAGCGGGATAACCAGAAGATCGTAAGTCACAAAGGCCATCACCAAGAAACCCCAGCAAGTTCTTAGAGTGCCGCTGGGATGCAGCATGCATCTCCTCATGCTGGCACGGATTGGAGAACCTGGATGTGCAAACATCCTGCCCGAGTTCGACTGCGAAGTCCCACCCGCAGTCGGCGTGGTCGGCGTTACTGTCGCCGCTCGGGATTTGGTGCGCTGCTTGGTCGTACTGTGCGCCCTTACCTGCAAAGTGTCCAGGGTCACAGCTTACAGGCGGGCTTAAGGATGGTGAGTGATCTATCTTTTGCTGTCGATTTTTTCCGCTGTCTTTGGGTGTACGAGGAGGGACGAAGGACAGCACCCAAAATTCAGCAGAGATGCCTGGGAATGATCCCAACAATGATGAGCCATCCTAGGTTGTTCTCGAGCACTAACTGAAACGGCGTGCGTCCTCGATAACTCTTGAACAAGCAACGGAATGTTTCTTTGAATGTCATTCTGAGCCCTTGAAGCCCTACAAAAGCGTTTTGCTACGCCCCGATGCCTAAAAAAAAACACGCCCCTAAGCCATGATAAACTTCCAACAGGCTTCAGCTTGATACCCGACATGCCGATGTCTGCAGCATGTGCGTCAGCATCTAAGCCATGGAGTTGAAGAAGGGATTGTCTGGACTCCCTGGGCCAGCTGACAGGGTTTAGGGTGTAGGGTTTAGGGTTCAGGGTTCAGGGTTCAGGGTTCAGGGTTTAGGGTCTAGAATTTAAAGTTTGCCATTCCTCCCCTCCTCCCCTCCTCCTCCCCTCCTCCCCTCCCCTCCTCCCCTCCTCCCCTCCTCCCCTCCTCCCCTCCTCCCCTCTCCCCCTCCCCTCCTCCCCTGCTCCCCTGCTCCCCTCTCCACTCCTCCCCCTCCCTCCCCTCCCTCCCCCCCTCCCCCCCTCCCTTCCCTCCTCCCTCCCCTCCCCTCCCTCCCTCTCCCGCCCTCCCCCTCTCTCCTCCCTCATCCTCCCCTCCTCCTCTCCCCTCCTCCCTCGCCCTCTCCTCCCTCCCCTCTCCTCCCCTCCCCTCTCCTCCCCTTCTCCTCCCCTCTCCTCCCCTCTCCTCCCCTCTCCTCCCCTCTCCCTCCCCCTCCCTCCCCTCTCCTCCCCTCTCCTCCCCTCTCCTCCCTCTCCTCCCCTCTCCTCCCCGCTCCTCCCCTCTCTCCTCCCCTCTCCTCCCCTCCCCTCTCCCCCCTCTCCTCCTGCCCTCTCCTCTCCTCTCCTCCCGCTCTCCTCCCTCTCCTCCCCTCTCCTCATCCCCTCCCCCCTGTGCTCCTCCTCCTCCTCCCCCTCCTCCTCCTCCTCCTCCTCCCCCTCCTCCTCCTGCTCTTCCTCCTCGTGCTGCTCCTCCTCCTCGCGGGTTTGGAGAGAGAGATACTGATCCAGGCAACGGTGGCTTATGTGTCCTCATCCTTCCGCACCCCCACTTTCCATGATTGCATCGGGCTTTGTATTTCTGGAGCTCACTCTAGGATTGCCCTTAAAACCCTCTGAACAATATCCCGAAGATGATCCTTTTTGAACCCAAGAAGGGAAAAATATGCCCCAAGGGCCTACCTAGCGATTGAGATCCGGGGTGCATGGACTCTCTACTTGGAGGTTCACGGGTACTTATAACCACGATTATGAATCTACTTATAACCTACTTAAGGGACTTAGTGGGGCTTATAATAAGTACAGATATAATTGGGGTTATAAGCACCCTGAACCTCGTAGCCCTAAACCCTAAACCCTAAACCTTAAACCCTAAACCCTCAACCCTGAACCCTGAACCCTGAACCCTGAACCCTGAAGCCTGAACCCTGAACCCTAACCCCTAACCCCTAAACCCTAAACCCTAAACCCTAAACCCTAAACCCTAAACCCGAAACCCTAAACCCTAAACCCTAAACCCTAAACCCTAAACCCTAAACCCTAAACCCTAAACTAAACCCTAAACCCTAAACCCTATACTTGGTGTATAAATCCGGGGTGCATGGACTCTTTGGTCTGCCTTTTTGAGAGCTGAGGCAGGGATGTCTCCGGAGGCTCTGGCTGGCCCAGTGCAGGCGGAATGACGGCCACGGGTGACGGACTTCCTGGGCGCAATTTGGAGTTTAGGGTTTAGGGTTTCGGGTTTAGGGTTTAGGGTTTAGGGCATCTTGGGGGGGGGGGGCGGCAAGACAGCTTGGTGGGCAGCTTCATGGCGGGAGGGCACGCAACCAGTGCAAGCTGAACCCACAACATCCTGCAAGACATAACCCTAAACCCTAAACCCTAAACCCTAAACCCTAAACCCGAAACCCTAAACCCTAAACCCGAGACCCTGAGAAGAAGGCTTGAGGTGCCAAGATGCGTCGTCGACGGTACTGGGCAGGGTTGACTTCGGGCACGGATTGACACCGACGAAACTTCGCCGACTTCGCCGCTTCAGGGTCTTGCCCGGCAGCTGACAGGGCCCTCGTCCTCAAATTCGGGCTCGTCGTTGGAGCTTGCTCATCCACGGTCTCCTGCCTTTCAGAAGAGAGCGTCGGTGGGGTCCTGCCCAAGAACTGCGGCTCAGCAACATCCGCCACGTAGCAGTCAGCCAGCATCCGGTGCAAATCCCAGAAGGAGTACGGGTGCCTGCGTTTATCACAGACGTCGGGAACGGCGTCCTCCATGATTGAAAATGGAAAAGATGAGGAAGGGTGAAACAATGCTACAACTCTCCGACCGTTATTCCTGTCTAATGCGTGCTCGTTCTCTCTGGCCTCAACAGTTTACGGCGATGTTTCAGGTCTGCTTGCGAAGGTGGTCATCACACATATGCATCACTCAGGAGACGTACCTGTAAGAGCCAAAAGCACATGAATGCCATAAACCCCGAGCCCTAAAACCTGAACCCTAAACCCCAAACCCTAACCCTAAACCCGGAACTCTAAACCCCCACAAGAGGGCCGTTGAATCTCTCAGCCAGGAAACAAGGCCTGTTCGGGCTCCCACGACCCCCAAATTCTACAAACCTTCTCAGGAAGCTGAAAAATCAGCCTTCACTTGGGATGTGATAAACCCTAAACCCTAAACCCTAAACCCTAAACCCTAAACCCTAAGCCCTAAGCCCTAAATCCCTATGAGGGACTGCTAGTATGAGGGGATCATCCCAATGCCTCACAAGCCAAGGCCCAAATCTCCCCGCGCTCTGCACATGAAGATGGCTCACGGGTTCGGGACTTAGGGTTTAGGGTTTAGGGTTTAGGGTTTGGGGTTTAGGGTTTAGGGTTTAGGGTTTAGGGTTTCGGGTTTAGGGTTTAGGGTTTAGGGTTTAGGGATTAGGGTAAAACAACCCAGGGGAGCTGACATCATTGGAGCACCCTGATTTGTAAAACCCTCAACAGAATCATTTTAGAGCATGAGGGAGAGAGCGGACGCCTCAACCCCCAAAGCTAGCCCTAATTGCTTGAGGCTCCTCTTGGGGTTTAGGGTTTAGGGTTTAGGGTTTGGGGTTTTGGGTTTTGGGTTTGGGGTTTGGGGTTTAGGGCCAAGTTTAGGGTTGAGGGTTTCGGGTTTAGGGTTCAGGGCAGAAGAGAACCAGGGAGTTGGGTACCCTTCATGCGACCCCTTAGAGCTTAAAGGGTTTCACGTTGAGGATCTAGGGTAGAATCTAGGGTACTCTTTTCCTTACCTAGAACTAACAATTTACGCCAACACACAAAGAACAAACCACGGATACCCTGTAAGGGAGTCTACTAGGTAGTCCCTCATTCCCTAATGTTGAGAGGAGAAGTTGACGCGAAGCAGAAAAACCCAAGCTCGCTGTGTCGAAGTTCTGACTAGGGGCTTCGTGTCATCGACTCACAAAGTCATTCCTTAACACTAGAAGCCACGGAAACCCTCAACCCTCAACCCTAACTCTCTGACCCAAGTTGCTCGTCATCGTCGTCGTCCTCCAGAGGTGTCAAAACCGGTCATGCCCACCCCCCGAAAAGGCAGCTTCATCGGCTGTGGCTCCACACTTTGGGGTTTAGGATGTGTCCCCAGCAGCGAGGCGCCTCGACTCAGACAGTGGCTGCGTGTCGGAAATCGGTCATGTTCTACCCACCCCTGACCACCCAAGTCCTAAGAATTTCGGCTTTGGATCACTTCTCCCAAATCCATGCCGTCTGCCGACAAAGGGGCGCGTTGGTGCATTGAAGTGGGCCCTGGCAGGAGTGCCTGAGGAGCCCTCACAAAGCAAAGGCGACACGAGGTCCCTGAACCCTAAACCCTAAACCCCAATCCCTAAACCCTCAAGACCAGGATAAATAGAAACTGTTTGTGTGTCAATTTGAATTTACAATTTCGACCCCATTGAGGGGCTTAGGGCTTAGGGATCCAAGAGGCAACCCCAACCCCCCCCCTCCCCACCCCCATTAAACCCCACCCCCACTTCTCCACCCCCAACCCCTCTCCACCCTCCCCCCCCCCGCCCACCCCCCCCCCCCACAAGGCCTCACCCAAGCCTGGCACAGAAACCAGATACAATTTCTACCCTACCTACCACACACCCCCCCCCCCCCCCTCCCAACCCCAAAACACGACGTTCGGGGCAGTAGGGGATCCCCTTCCCCCCTCCCCCCCCACCCCCCCCCCCCCCCCCCCCCCCCCCCCCCCCCCCCCCCCCCCCTCCCCCCTCCCCGCCCACCCCCTCCCCCCACCTCCCCCAAGCCTGGCAAGCCATCGCATTTTTGTTCAAAAGCCAAAAAAAACGGTCAAAACCGGTCAAAACCCCGGACACAAACCCTAAACAATTTCTATAAACCCCAAACCCTGACTAGGTCGCCGCCTGATGCTCCCGGCCATGTGAGTTTGGGGATCGCGAAAAATGCTCCAACGCTGCACTCCAGATTTGTTCATGGTCCACGAAGCCACATGGGTAGTTCTCGAAATGTTGGTCCCTTTGGTTCCCTTTTCGGGTGCCCCTATATAATACGGGAGCCTTATATAAAAGGACCCCAAAAAGCGACCCTAAATTCGAAGCTACCCAACTGATGCCTTCGGACGTGGTGGCTACCACAGAATCCTCGGCCCTGTCTCTTCCTCGGGATGTTGAGCAGCAGAATTACTGTTGAACCCCCCACCACCAAAATAATGTATGTACATATACACATGTGTACATATTCATTTTGTATTTGTTCATAAGTATACTGTATACTATTCCGCAACTCCGCTCCAAACTTGTGCTGCGCGCATGGTCCACAACAGAAGCGGATGCCGCACATGGTTGGAGCACTGAGGCGGAAAAGGGTGTGCCTTACCCCAAACTTGTTCATCCACGATTTTGCAGCAAAAGATGCAGATGTGCTTGCGCATGGAGGAGGGCAGGGGGCCCAAACCGACCTGCCTTGACCTCGCTTAAGTCGATGTTGGGGACGTTCGCACATTTGGGCGGCGGGGGTCCGATTTTCCTCACGGCCCATCGTTGCGCAGTGTGATGGAAAAGACACGCCGGATGCCGGGAAGGGTCGTGGAACCCTGGAGAGACCCCGAGAGGGTTCGGAGAGGCGGGGGAAAGGCGGCAAGAGCCTGCTGGACAAGGCGCAAGGTCAGAAACATGATTGAGGGTTTGGGGTTTAGGGTTTGGGGTTTAGGGGTTAGGAGACATGGATGACATAATTTACGACGCCATACTAAGGGAAAGTGTAACTACCCTCAGACTCTAGGTGAGCCCTGTTGATGGACCTAGCTGCCACAAGCGTGCGTCTTCTCGGAGCGCGCTCATGCTCCCTCCTCCTAGCCAGAAGAGCTTGTGAGGCTCGTGGCCTTGTGCGATTTTCTATCTGAGCCTGAAGCGTCAGATTGGTGTATGTGCGCCGGACAACTTTCAAGATCTGCAAGCCGAAGACCCAGGCCTTGCAAGACACGGGTGGGAAAGGATCCTTAGCCCTAAAGCCTTCAATAGTCCTGTATCCCCTGTATCCTGAATCTCTGGCAGCTCAGCCCTAAACCCTAAACCCTAAACCCCAAACCCTAACCCCTAAACCCTTCAACCCAAAGCCTACCGAGAAGCTCACGCGGTCCTCATTGAGGGCAGCCCACTTGTTTGGAACAGGTGCGGGTCGGCCCTGGGAGTTGTCAGGCGCAGTTTCTTTAAGGTTTTGGGTTTAGGGTTTAGGGTTTAGGGTTTAGGGTTTAGGGTTTAGGGTTTAGGGTTTAGGGTTTAGGGTTTAGGGTTTAGGGTTTAGGGTTTAGGGTTTAGGGTTTAGGGTTTAGGGTTTAGGGTTTAGGGGTTGGGTTTAGGGTTTAGGGTTTATGGCTTTAGGGTTTTGGGGTGCAGGGTTTAGGGTTCGTAGGGTTCGGTGCTTCTGGGGTTTGGGGTTCAGGGTTTTGGGTTCAGGCTTTGGGGGTTAGGGCTTAATAGGGTTTAGGATTCGGGGTTCGCTAGGGTTTAGGGTTTGGGGGGTCAAGGTTCGTAGGGTTTGGGGTTTGGGGCTCAGGGAATCTTGAACATGGATGGTGGGAAGTGACTGTGGCGGCCGAGCGGCCCCCGGCGGCACCATGCTGGGCTGCTTCGGCTTCCTAAGATGCGCCGTTTAGGGTTTAGGGTTTAGGGTTTAGGGTTTGGGGTTTAGGGTTTAGGGTTTAGGGTTTAGGGTTTAGGGTACGGCTTCCGGGCTTTTAGAGGGTTTTGGTGTTCATGGTTGAGTGCTTTCAGTAGACAACCCTGACCCTAAACCCTAAACCCTTTCCCCTCACTCGTAAGCCCTAAGCCCGAAGCCCTAAACCCTAAACCCTAAACCCTAAACCCTAAGCCTAAACCCTAAACCCTAAACCCTAATTTCAAACTTCAGGGCCTCTTGCGCCTTACGCGGGTCAACCGTTGCATAAGGTGTAGACCTTGGGATGTTCCGCCTTCGTCTACCCGTCCTTAACAGGGACTATAGTAGGGGGTACTATAATCCCTATTAAGGACTGCTAGTATCAGGGGGAACATCCCAAGGACCCCAATAAGGCTTAGTTAAGCCGTTCGGGGGCCCTGTTTCGGGCAGGAGGCAGCACAGCTGGCCCTGTTTCGGGCAGGAGGCAGCACAGCTGCTCATGATGAACGATCTGTAGAGAGACAAAGGTAAATCTGATCAAGGCTCCACACCCTGAGCCTTAAATCCTTTTGTATAAGCCGCAAGCATATAGCGAGACCTTAAAACGCCCTAAACACCCCTCAAGCAACCTGAAAACACTGAAAAAACCTAAATCCATAAACCCTAAAAACCCCAAAACCCTCAAAACCCTCAAAACCATCAAAACCATCAAACCCTAGAACCCTAAACGCCTGAAAAACCCGAAAAAAGCCTGACAACCCTCAAAACCCCTTAAAAAAAAAAAAAAAAAAAAAACTTCTCACAGCCCGGGCATCGGCTGCATGAAACCCCGGGCTCTGCTCAAGATCTCGGCCGGCGGCGGCCCCACCGGTGGACCTCAAAGTTAGTTTTTGGGTCTTGGGTCTTGGGTCTTGGGTTTAGGGGTTAGGGTTTAGGGTTTAGGGTTTAGGGTTTAGGGTTTGGGGTTTGGGGTTTGGGGTTTAGGGTTTAGGGTTTAGGGTTTAGGGTTTAGGGTTTAGGGTTTAGGTTTAGGGGTTCCTCAGGTTTTGAAGGTTTCGGAGGCTTTAGGGTTTGGGATTTGAGTGTTTAGGGTGCCCAGGTTGACTCGTTAGGGCGATAAGCTGTTGAGAGTGCCTGCAGCTTCTGAGGCTCACAAAAGACAGACACCTGATACGGTAGACGAGTAGGAACGCAGGCTCCTTGCTCACCTCTCCCCCTTACCCCCCCCCCCCCCTCTGCCCCCCCCCCCCCGAAAGAAAAACCCACAAGCTTAAAGCTACATCACGAGCTGCCCTAACCCTAAACCCTAAACCCTAAACCGTGATTATGTAGGGAACCTCATTCCCGCATTCCCTACGAACCAACGGTAAGTAAAAGCCCCGGCAAGGCACGAGGACCAGCCGCTGCAGCAGGCCTCAGCAAAGCTTTGCAGCTCTAGGGTTTAGGGTTTAGGGTTTAGGGTTTAGGGTTTAGGGTTTAGGGTTTGGGTTTTGGGTTTTGGGTTTTGGGTTTTGGGTTCTGCGTTTTGGGTTGAGGGGGAATGTGAGGGTTTCATTCCGGGAGCTGCAGGGGTGTAGGGATCAACCTCGAAGGCTATTGGGGGAATCGGGAAGAAGGGCAGAACACACTGCAACGCGATTCGGCCCGGGGTATCCCCAGACCCCTTGGGAGGATCCACAAAGTAGAGCCCCCCAAATAGTCAATAGTAACCCTGTACTACTTTTGGGTCATTCTTAGGAACCCTTAAAGGGATCCAACTTTTGCATCCTCCCAGGGGTCCAAAACGGTCGTTGTAGGCCTCCCACTCTCAAAACGGAGATCCTGGAACCAGCTGAAACCCTTAAGCTCCAGAAGGGGTTTAGGGTTTAGGGTTTAGGGTTTAGGGTTTAGGGTTTAGGGTTTAGGGTTTAGGGTTAAGGGTTTAGGGTTTAGGGTTAAGGGTTAAGGGTTTAGGGTTTAGGGTTTAGGGTTTAGGGTTTAGGGTTTAGGGCTTAGGGTTTAGGAAACCTGTGCCCGAAACCCAGTGTTCTCCCCACACTCTTCGACTCTCCCAACTCTTGTGTGCGCCAACTCCACGGCCCACTCATCCCAACCCTTAATTGCTCGGGGATAGATTGTGCAAAGCGCAAAAGAATGGTGTAAGGTTCTCGTCGGATTGCATCAGGGTAAAGGCTCCCTAAACCCCAAACCCCAAACCCCAAACCCCAAACCCCAAACCCCAAACCCCAAACCCCAAACCCCAAACCCCAAACCCCAAACCCCAAACCCCAAACCCCAAACCCTAAACCCTAAACCCCCATTCTAGTTCGTCGACTCTTTGCCACACTGGGCCCAGGTGCGGGCGGGATTTTGGCCGTGCTTTGGCCTGCAGGGCTTGCACACTAAACCCTGAAACCCTGAAACCCTGAAACCCTGAAACCCTGAAACCCTGAAACCCTGAAACCCTAAACCCTAAACCCTAAACCTTAATCCCTCAGCGCTGGCAAAGGCCTGAAAGAAAGCTCTAGAGCTGCCTGGTCGTTGAGTACGAACCGAAATGCTTTCTTGGGTTTAGGGTTTAGGGTTTAGGGTTTAGGGTTTAGGGTTTAGGGTTTAGGGTTTAGGGTTTAGGGTTTAGGGTTTAGGGTTTAGGGTTTAGGGTTTAGGGTTTAGGGTTTAGGGTTTAGTTAGGGTTTAGGGTTTAGGGCTTAGGGCTTACGTAGGGCCGTAGGGTTGGGGGTTCAGTGTACGCAATTTGCATTCCAATGTCCCTGAGACAAACACACGCAAAAGCCTCGTTGCGCCCAGGCCTGGGAACACAAGCCGAACACAGAAGCCTATGACAATCCAGAAAACCAAGCCCTAAACCCTAAGCTAAAAGCCCTGAAGGCGCGCAAAGCCCTCAGATGCTTAAACCCCGGAGGTTTAGATGGGTTCAGGCTATTTAAGGCTTTTGCAGTGAATTTGTGGTTGTAGGGATTTTGAGGTTTCGCATTTGGGTCGTGCGCTTTGCGTGCCTTGAAGGTGCTGTGCGCTTTCGGGCTTCAGGGTTTGTAGCCGGGTTCAGGCGGTTTGGGGGGGGTTCATGCTGATCTTGGTTAGGAATTACATTCTAGGGTCTAGGAGGGTTTAGGGTTTAGGGTTTAGGGTTTAGGGTTTAGGGCTTAGGGCACCCTGGGCCCTAAGGATTTAATTCTCTGGGCCTTGGCGGTGGTCTGGAGGTCCCCAGCCTCGCAAGTGGGCTGCTACGCCATAGGCAGATTCAAAGGGTTCAGGGTGTCTGGGGTTTAGGGTTTAGGGTTTAGGGTTTAGGGTTTAGGGTTTAGGGTTTAGGGTTTAGGGTTTAGGGTTTAGGGTTTAGGGTTTGGGGTTTCGGGTTTGGGGTTTCGGGTTTCGGGTTTTGGGGTTTGGGGTTTGGGTTTAGGGTTTAGGGTCTAGGGTTTAGGGTTGAGGGTAAATGCGGAGGGCTTTATCAGCGGGAGTTGATCCACTCGTAAGAAGCCAAGATCTCGGTTGCTACGTTGAGGATCTTCAGGGTGCCAGAGTAGGGAAACCGAACTGCTTTCCGGATGTCCAGATAAATGCATAATCTTTGCTTGGGTTAACTAACAGCAAGAAAGGAGAACAAATAACAAACAACTACCGTTCGATGTGCGGGTCTGAGCCTTAGGCGGTGGGGAATGGGATGTTCCCCCTTATACTAACAGTCCTGAACAGGAATTAGAATAGGAGGTAACAAAAGTAATAAAATAGGAACAATACGAATAGTAGAAATAATACTAATAGTAGTAATCCCCATATTGCACGTGTAGGGAGGAATCTCTTTTTTGGTCTTAAACAAATAGCAGTTTATGGGGACTCAGCTGGGATGACTTGTGGGCAAGAAGCTACAGTAAATCACCGCCATCAGAAGACTCAGACGCTGGCAACTTCCGGATTTTGGCGGGCCCGGAGGAGCGGTAAAAACCACAGGGTTTAGGGTTTAGGGTTTAGGGTTTAGGGTTTAGGGTTTAGAGTTTAGGGTTTAGGGTTTAGGGTTTAGGGTTTAGCCTGAAACTAGCCTGAAAAAAGAGGGTCTAGGAAGTTCGGGATTCAATATTGGGGATTCAGGGTTTCAAAGGCTCAGGGCGTCAGCCACTCCAAACCTTGAGCCCTGCATCCTTAACCCTTCCAGGGGCCTCTCTGAAAGACCCCTTCGATACACCCCAACTAGTAGGATTCCCTTTTAGTAAGAGGCTTTAGGGCTTAGGGCTTAGGGTTTAGGATTTAGGGGTTTAGGGTTTAAGACCCCAGTAAGGTACCCCTAACTTTGTAAACCCCCCAGGGCCTCTCTGTAGCCTGCTGGCTCGGTTTGCGGCCACTCCTCCTCCTCCTCGCGATCGGCCGAAACTCCCAGGCAACGCGAGCCCTCTACTATAGGGGCCTTAATAATGAGAACAGGGTTTTGGAGGTTCTTATAGTATTATGATTTCTGGAGAGCGGCCTGTCATGGGGCCTGCGTTTTCCATGGTGCATGTTTGCGAATGTTGCGTGCACCCAACATATAAGTCGCGATCATTTTGTCGAAGTACCCCATGTCGACTATGTTATTGTGAGTTTAGCTTTGCCACACATGCTGAGCGGGATATGTTTCGTGAACCAAAGTAACCAAAGTGTTGAATGAACAGGAGTCTACATACCAGATGAACGAGGGGCGGGGGAACATTGTCGAACCCTACTCCTAAACCTTATTCGTTTCAGGCTTGGTCCCAAGCCTTAGACTTCACTCGCTGAACCTTGCGCCTGAAGTATATTCGCTTAATACTTAAGCCAAACCCTATTCCTAAACCTGGACCTTATTCGTCTAAGATTTAGGGCCAAACCTTCTTCGTCTAAGATTGACTGAATAAAAAGAAAGGGAAAACAATGCGTGAGCCGTCCCCCGAATCAATGCCTACAAAGTGTAGGGCTTGCCTCCTGTGGAGATGCGAAGAACATCTAGAATAACCACCCACGCCGCGTATGTACATAGGGTGTATGTATTGTCTGAAAAAGGTAGAAATTCTACCCACTCAAACATGCCTAAACCATTTTCGTCTAAGATGTTGGGCCAAACATTATTCGTTGAAAGATTACTAGGTAAGACTAAAGTTCCGGGGAATACCATGAGTGAGCATCTTCCCTAAGCAATGCCTGCATGTGCAAAGAACATGTAGAATAACTGCCCACATCCTGACTGGATCTCGGGTGTGTGCATTGTATATCAAATAGAAAACATGGAGAGGAAAGGGCCGTAATCCTCAAACCATAAGACTAGGAAGCATTTGAGGGCATAAAGTGATGCGAGAAAATAAACTGTGTGTACGGCCCAGGGAAGCGGGAATACTGTGAGCAAATATCCGTTCACTATGTTCTGGGTTCTGCGCCTGCCCAAAAGCCCGACTTACTCGCAAGTATGTGGGTTTTCATATCAAGGTTTTTAAAGGGGGTCTCCAAAAGAGTACTCATTTCTCAAGGATCAGACTCACACGTAAACTATCCTCAAGAATCAGAAGTAAGCAACCCATACACTCTACGCGTTTAAGGCTTAGATTTCTAAGCACCTTATTCGATTGAGGCTTGGGGAAAGACCCTAGTCCAAGATTTGATTGTTTTAGGGACAAACATATCTTACTCCTAACCTATTCCTTAACATTTCAGGATGTCACGCATAAACTACCCTCAAGAATCATAAGTAAGGTTTAACGTTCCGGACTCCGAGTTTAGGGTTTAGGATAAAACAGGCCCGGCCTTGTACCCCAGTTTGAGGCTGGACTGGACCCTGCGCGCCGCCTCATGGCGCGCGAAGTCGAAGCTGCCCCTTGG